TATATATATATATATATATATATATATATATATATATTTTTTTTTTTTTTTTTCTCACATAACTTATGATAATAAAGTCCAAGTTTTGAAAGCATGGTATAAATTCACAAGGCAAGCATGATGATATGGCACTCATTAAAAAACGTTTGCGAACCACCAACCTACTCTCACCAACAACAAATTAAGAATGCTGCAGGAGTTGAACTGCTCCACTAGATAGCAGCAGATTGCTGTGTGTGTGTGCGTGGGTGTGTGTGTGTGGGGGGGATATCTCAGTTTGTGAGTTAACTGCCAGAGATGATCTCTTACTTCTCCCCAGGATCTGAATGCTTTTGATGAGAATCATCATGTTCACCTCTGTTGTAAATCTGCTGTGTTCTCCCAGGCGTGTATCTTGGTGTCTCTATGCTGTTTCTTCTTTACAAATTCTGTCTAAACTTGGAGGACCACCTGCCAACACCAATTGCTTTGGGAAACTTGCTACCTACATTTCATCAGGTCTTTTCATTTTCTTGATCACCACGAGACACAAAACTGTGGGGAAAGGAATAAATATTCTTGTGTAACATTAAGTCTTTTGAATGTCTTTGTGAAGCCTTGTGCACACATGTATAGACATTGACGTGTGCTCTATGCTGGTTGGTAATAATTAGATACACTGATAATCTACAAGATCTGGATCTAGCAACCTAACACCTGTACCCTATAGCTGGACAGAACCGGCAATCTGACCCCTTCCCTCAGGAAGAAGGATAATTTGGTTGATGGCACTAATAATCACAGCCCTGTTACCGATCCTTCCCTGGCTGGAGCTCTGTGTGTTTGAGAGTCATTCTTGTGTAACTGATACCTTAGAGGGAATACGTCATATCTTTAACAAGTGTGTGTAACTCCGACCTTTGCCCCATTTCGTACTTTAACATATGTCAAAGTATGCTAGCAGTGTCTACATGACATATTTCAATTTAGTTTAAACAGAAAGGATAACAATATTGGGTGGGGGGTGTTAGTGATAATATGGGGAGTAAAAAACTTAGCAGATTCAACAGCAGATGTGTGCAGGTGTTCACACACAACTTCTGTCATGCTAATAAATGAAGTCTGAGAGCGTTAATTACTCAGCATTTGTACATTTTACAGTATCTTCACTGCTAATCAAGCTTATCTTCTGCCTCCCAGAAGATTAGCCAATCATGCTTTTCTTCTGTTCCTCTCTGGACGTTTTGTATTATTTATGCCCCGCCCCCTCAGCCGCTCAGCAATCTCAAGTTTCACCTGCAGAGCCAGATGACAAATTAAGACTCCTTCCATGACCTATGACAAGGAAGTGTCTACACAGACACACACACCTTCACATAAGTACACACATACAACTCATCTGCCCATCTCTCTTACTTGCACACTCCCTTGAGGTCACTCACTGTGCACAGGACGTAGTGTTGAGTAACAGAATGTGTTATGCTTATCACTGGAGGTAATGATAAAATCAGAGGAGAAGCACATTGCAAATTGAAGTTATTTATTTTTTTTTTACTTTTTTCTTTCTTGATTATTGAAGAAGATACCTGTGATCAGACACGCTGTGTTTGAAGATTTCAGACCCCGACCACAACAAAGGCAGGTCTTCTTTATGACCAGAAGGGAGGAGCCAATAATGGAGAACTGTCCAGGTGAATGAAATTGTCAACATTGTCTTAAGAACTTAGCTTTGGCTACGCATCTCTTGGAAAACGACTGAACCACTGAGGGGGTAAAGCCTTTTCTATGTTTTATCATGTTGTGTTCAGGTTTTGCATTTAGTAAAAGGCAATTGAAAATCAGTAGACAAGACTATTCTATTTAAATCTACAGCTAGATTAAGCTTAAACTGTGCACTCTGATAAACATAGGCATTGGTTTAAGATCTTTGTATGCAGTATTATTCAAAAATATTGTTCAATTTTCTCTTAATACTAGAAATAATATAGAAACATAAGCAATAATACAGAAATATCAGAGATGTTTCTGTACTATTTCGACATGGCTTTGACTAATATTTCTCCAGGTCTTTCTCCCGGCTTTCTAAAGGTCTGACTGAGTTGTAATTTGGACATTGGTGGGTTATTTTCACTTAGTTTCATCCACATTTTTATGTTTAATCATGACAGTATATTGTGTAGGTGTCCTTAAAAGCAAGGATAGTGGATAAGTGGAAGAGAAAAATTACAGTCACAGATGAACAGTTTCTGAAAGTCAAGTTTTGATAAATAAAAAAATAAAAATCATGATGCAGTATTTATTTTATTGAGCAGATATTGAGAAAATAATGTAGCCTGCTGTCTGGACAGTGTTAAATGGTTTAAAAAGTCATTTGTTTTATTTAGTGGAACATGGATGGGGTTTAACTAGCAGACTAAACAAAGCTTCACAGGCTCTTTAAGAAAAATTGGGATGTAAACCCTTGGCTAAACATTTGCAATGCAGCTTTCTGGACTATAAATACTGGCCAAGCTTAAATAGTCAAAAATAAGGTAGAAGGACCTCAAAGGCAAATGTCGTAGCTGATTGTCTACTGAACTCAGTGTTTTCAGCTAAAACCTCTTTTGGAACCACCTGGAGATAAAATAATATCTTGTGTCCTTGTAAGCTTTGTTGTTAACTGTTTGTTTGTTAACTTTATAAGAGAGAACATGTAAATTATTTAACAGAGATTAAAAAAAAAATCTTCTTATTGTCTATTGCTAGACAGAAAAACTATTGATTCCAAAAACCCTTTCAGATGTTCATCGTCAAGTGGTGACTACTCTTGAGGAGGACCACTCTAAAAAAAATTAACACATCTTAAGAGAAACGTAAAAAAAGAGAAGGATGAATTGAGAATTTTGTACGTTATTTTATTTCTTTGTCCAATTCAGTTTTATTCACAGATACCTGTATGGAGATTTTAGTCCTTATGGTAATGTACTCTAAGACCTAAAGAAAGTTAAAGCTAGGAAGTAGGGTTCTTGAATGACTCCAGATTGGAAGATCTGGAGTCATCTGACTTGAAACATTGGTTCACAATTGAGTATTTTATATATTATGTTAGGAACCAGCATGTTTATATCTGTACAGGAGTCTTCATGGGGATCAGATCTGAACAGTGTGGAACTGCTAAGGACGGGTGGATTCCTTCCTCAAACCAGTGGTGAAGAATCATAAAGTCACATCAAAAACAATAATATTTTTAAGGTTAGTTAAAAATGTCACTGTTTTGTGCATTACTGACAATCTAACTTCACAAACATGATACAAATTTTGTTCTTTTATGTTTTGTTTTTAAAGGTCAACAGCATTGAACTTTGTACTGGGAGCATGGTGTGCTTCTAGCAAGTGGTCAAAATGCCTGGTAAGAAAGATACTAAAAAGGACACCAAGAAAGGTGGAAAACCTGAACCAGAGAAAAAAAAAGAGGATGAGAAGAAGGCAAAAGATGACAAAAAGGGAGCAAAAGATGACAAAAAGGGGGGAAAGGATGACAAGAAGAGTGGAAAAGATGATAAGAAAGGAGGAAAGAAGGGAAAAGAGGAGCCATCTAAAGGCAAAGATGAGGGGAAAAAAGGAAAAGACAAAGGAAAAGGTAAAAAAGTAGAGTCTGAAGAGGAAGAGGAGGAGCTACTGAGTGATGAAGAGGAGGAAGAGTTCAGTGAAGAAGAAGATTGGGAGGATTCAGAGGACAACAAAAAGAGAAAAGGGCAAGGGGGTAAAGCCAAGAAGGGTGGGAAGTCTAGACGTGGTGACGACTCTGAAGAAGATGATGAAGACTATGACGATTCAGATGATGATGATGAGGAAGTGGCTCACGGTAAATCTAAAAAAAAATCTAAAGATGATCATCACCATAAAGGAGGAAAATCAGATGCAGATGTGAAGAAGAAAAAGGGAAAGAAGAAGGAGGAACCACTGGTTCCTGTTAAAGAAGTCCCAAAGAAAGGTCTGAAGAACATGTCAAAAATGTTCATGAAGTTTTCTGGCATCAAAAGACGCAAGAACAGTGTAAAGAAACTGAAAAGCACATCACGTTTATTCCTTGGCTTGGGAAGGAGGAAGAGCCGGCTTGCTAAGAAAAAACGCCGAAAGTCTATGATGAAAAATACCTCACGGTTTATGATGAAATTTAAAAGTAGCCAAAAGAAGAAAAAGGAGAAGGAGGCCAAAGAAAAGGCAGCAGCCCATGGAGGAAAAAAGCCAACATACATGTTACTTCGTCTTGGGGGAGGGAATTCAAATAAAAAGAAAGGGGGATTCTTCAGAAGTCTCTTTAAAAAGCAGGATGGCACAAGTGATGACTTCAAGAACAGTAGTGCCTTACTAGGCAAGGTTGCTGCAGCAACTAATTGGCTTACCAAACGGTTTCTGTCAAAAAAAATGCAAGAAAATTCCAGGCATCATGGCTTAGATGGCCATAGAGGAAAAACACGACAATCCAGCTCCAGACGGTTTCTGCATGGTTACCAAAACAATGGTTATACGTTTGGGGAGGAAGATGATGGATATGACCAGCACTATGTAGTTGACCAGAGAGGTTACAGGTATGAAGATGGCTATGATGATTATGGAGTTGAGTCAGCACCAGGTTATGCAAGATATGGTCAGTATGGATACTACGAGAATGAGATGGAAGGGGCAGACTATCAAGACCTGGGTTACTATGAGGAAGACGGACTCTATGATACAAATGTTGAATATTATGATGATGGATTTAATGATTACAATAACCTTTACTCCTCTGCCCAAGGGTATTATGACACTGAGGAAGCTGATTATTATGGGTACCAACAACAACAGGCAATGTATAATGATGAAGTCCTGGATTACTATCCTCAAATGCATATGGGTGGTATGTATGGAGGGGACATAGGAGGATTTCTTGATCCTCAGACTCAGTTTTATTATGATGAAAATGATCAGGGAGCTTACTATGCAAATAGACAATTGGGTTACTCCAACATTGGGCCTCAAGGTTATTATGGGGATCCTGTTGTAACAATGGAAATGCAAGGAGGATTTCAGCCAGACTTTCAGGTTGGATATAGCAAGCCCGGAATATACCAAGACTTGAGCTCCCAACAGACTGCATTCCCACATGGAGCCCAACAGGTCTTTGAACTTGGAGTACCAGGTATGGGTAAAGTAGACAGCCTGAATGGGAACCAATATGTAGGTCATATGAATCAAATTGGGGATGATTTGGGAGGAATTCAGCAAGGGGACATAACATTTAGAGTTCCTAGACCGCAAGTGCGCCTGTTTGGAAAAGAGCGATTAGATGTTCCTCTGCCTCCTCCACCTACTTTGCCTCCCGATCCTGAGTTTGAAGACATGTCAGATATCCAGTATGAAGACCAGGTTCCTCTTATGCCATATCAACTCGAAGACATGTCATTTCAACAGCAAATCCCAGTACCAGAACCACAACTGCCCATGTTTCCTTTTCAACAGCAACAACTATTGTCACCACAACAGATACTATCCCCACAGCAGCCAATGATGTTTCAGCAAGAAAATATGTTGCCCCAAATGATGCCCACACAGATGTCATCACAACAGCAGTTGATGCCCCAGCAAATAATGCTTCCCCAGCAGCAGATGATGTCAGAGCAGTTGTTCCAACAACAACCAATATCTCCACAACTAATTTCACCACAGGTAATTGTAGTTCTTGTCTGTCATTGCTTTAGTCCAAGAGGGAATGGTATATTATACCTAAGAAGACAATATTTGGAGATATTGAGGTGTTGTGACAAAGTGCTATATGTAGAACACACAGAAAGAGACTGGGGTAGAAAGTCATGTTTTTCCCAGCCAGCTTTTACATTGGCATAGTTAGGAACTGTGGTGCTTGAAGGGGCTACAATTTTTTACTAGCAAATTCGGAAATACTTTCCTGATAGTAATTTTTAATGAAGTTTCTCCAAACTGGAAAAAAATCTAAAGCAAGCAGCACAACAAAATTGAAATTGTCCATGGTGGTGCTAAGGCCAGCTGATTGATCTGATTGTAGGACATGTTATACACTATGTAATTTTGAGGGGAGGTGCTAAACTGCCCAGGCTGTTCCTTAACTAATAGACTGCTGTACTTCACATAAGCTTTATGAGCCAAATGGTAAAAAGAAAGTATATCCTTATTTGGTTTTTGGATTTTAACATAAACATTATTTAGCCTTTGCATGATTTTATAATATAAAATTATACACCATGAAAGCATGTAGTGTCTTTGTTTTTAGCATGAGCTTATGTTAATACCAGCAGAGTGTAATGGATGTCTTTCTTCACCACTACAGATGATGGCAGACCCAATGATGATACCACAGAGGCAGGGTTACAGCCTCCCAACCATCCCAACACCAACAGCCATGATCATTAAAGAAGCGACCATGTCTCCTCTCCCTACACGGCGCATGCAATCTTCTCCGACTCCATCTCGTCGCTCTGTCATTATACCCTCTCCACAAATGCAAAGGCATCCTTCAGCCATGGGTTCACCAGTCCCCACCCCTATGGCTGTAAGAAGGCAGATCCCCTCCCCACAACCTTCCATGAGGGGTGGGCTCATTAATGCTCAAAGACCTTCATCTGTTTTGTCTAGACAGATTTCACAACCTGCTTCTCCTATGGTGTCCCCAGTTCTTCATCGTAGAGGGCAGCCTCCGAAGTCACTTTCTCCTTTGGCCAGAGCATCCTCACCCCCTTATTCTCCCCGTGCCTCCGTAATTCGTCGTAGTCCTCCATCCTTGGAGAGAGGGTCAATGAGGCAGCATTCGCCCCTTTCATCACCCCACATTTCCAGGAGGATGCAAAGTCCCCAGCCATCACCCACTTCTGCTCGAAGTCCGGTGGGAGGCAGAAAGATACATGATCCACCCTCCCTTTACCCTGGTCATGCATCGCCACCTCTCTCTCCTCAACTAAGTCGAAGGCCTTCACCCTCTCCTTCTCACCGAAGTTTGTCTCCTGCAGGGCCTCGGCCAGCTCCATCCTCCCCTACTCTTTCTCGTCGTTCAACTCGACTGCTCAGGGATCCCACGCCATTGGCCAGACCTAGGGCATTTGGAAATGTTCCTTTAGGTACTGTCAGGCCCTCACCCATGGGTCTTAGAGGGCGTCCAGTGCCCCCACCCACACAAAATGTGAGCCCATTTCGTGCTTCTTCTGTGAGAAGTAATAGATCTTCTGTACTTACCATAGACTCCTCCCTTCACTCTTCTCCTTTCCATTCCCCTCTTATGGTCCACCGAACACCCCTGGGGAGAAAAGAATCTGTCCATCCTCCTCTTCGCCCCATTGCTCGAGGGCGTCCCCTTAGGGCCCGGCAGTCAATTAGAAGCATGCCTCCCCCTTCCCCGCAACCCTCCCTTAAATACATGTCACGCAGTCCATCTCCACGTCTTTCTCCTCGACTAAATCATCAGTCTGTTGTGTCAGATCCCTATGCTGATCCTTATGCTGAGCCATCACCACAATTTGTTGACCCATCTTCTCCCATGTTATCCAGGTCTTTGCAGAACCAATATCTTAGATTACATTCACCTTCAACCCTTAGACCACAAGCACCCCAAATGGTGGGTATGGGTCAGATGGCTCCAGAATTAGTAGAATTCCAAGGTCCTTCAATGGAAAGGCCGATGTCTGTTTATGAGCAGCCTTTGCTCCCTTCATCAATGCTCTCTGGAGCTCTGCAAAACCAGGCAGTGAGAGGAGCATCCTATGTTTCTCCACTTCAGAGACCTCAGTCTCCATATGCTCCATCTGTACCTTCGTCTCCATTGCTTTCTGGAGCCATGAAACATAGTCAGGCAATGAAAGGCATGACCTCTTATCAAACTCCACAGTTACAATCACCATATGGACCAACTGTTGTTATGCCATATGATTACATCTCTGAGCCTGGCCCAACACCATTACTTCAAGATGCACTGCAAAACCAAACTGGTTTTCCCCCGCATCCTTATACAGAGGTATCACAACAACTTGTTGCTCCCTCATCTCCTATGTTGTCCCGTTCTTTGCAAAACCAGGCTATTCAACCGGATGCTTTTTCAGCACTTGCACCAGAAGCTGTCCAAATGGTAGGCATGGGTTTGATGGCACCAGAATTACTAGAACCTCATGATTCTACATTGCAGAGACCGACATCACCTTATCAGCAGCCTTTGCTCCCTCCTGCACAAATGCTCTCTGGAGCTCTGCAAAACCAAGCCATAAGAGAAGCATCTTATGTTTCTCCAATTCAGAGACCCCAGTCTCCATATACCCCCTCTGTACCCTCATCTCCACTGCTCTCTGGAGCCATGAGACATAGTCAGGCAATGAAAGGCATGACCTCTTATCAAACTCCACAGTTACAATCTCCATATGGACCAACTGTTGGTACGCCATATGATTACATCTCTGAACCTAGCACAGTACCTTTGCTTCAAGATGCACTGCAAAACCAAACTGGTTTGCGTAATGTGTCTAATTTAAAATCTCCCATAATGCAACAACGGAATCCTTATGCCCCAGCTGGGCCTCAGCTCCAGAGTGCTCTGCAACAAAACCCAAATCTCCGCCAGGCTTCCTTTCAGACACCTATGCAACTCAGACGGTCCTCAGTTGTAACTCAATCACCCTCTTCACCAATGTTGGGAAGAGCTCTGCAGAACCCACAGTTGATGCAGGCATCATACCAGCTGCCAGGAAGAACCTTTATGAGCCCGTATGCAGATCCCCGTTCTTCACCATTGCTTGGCCGTGCATTGCAAAACCAACAAGTCCGGAGTGCCTCATATATAATGCCCGATGGATCAGTTATCAGGGTAAATAATATGTTCAAATAAATGTCTCTTCAAAGGCAAAAGGTTATAACTTCAATTGATATCCCTTCCTTTTACTCTCTATCTTAAACTCAAACAGGACCCTCGTCTACTTCAGAAGCCAATGTCACCTAACCTTTCTGGAGCTCTTCAAAACCAGCATCTAAGGATGGCTTCATATACTCTTCCCGATGGCACCATTATAGATTCTAGACAGAAAGTAACCAATGACCACCTGTAGTACAATACATTCAGTATAACAGTAGTTAATGTATACAGCTAACATATAATGCTTGCAATAATATTATAAATAATTATTACACTTTTTTTGTTCAGCATCCTATTTCCCCAAACCTCAGTAGGGCTTTGAACAACCCAGCCATACGTGAAGCTTCCTACTCTCTTCCTGATGGTACCATTGTGATAGACTCCAAAACAGAAAAGACACCCAACCTTACAGCAGCACTTCAGAACCCTTACTTGAAGAGTGCTTCGTACACCCTCCCAGATGGCACTATCATCATTGATCCACGGAAACCTACCTCTCCAAACCTGTCTAATGCTCTTCAACACTCATCACTGCGGAATGCCTCATTTACTCTACCGCAGGGGGTTAGAGACCCAAATACTCCAGTGTCACCAAATCTGGCAAAGGTTAGCTATAAATGGAGATTTCTTTTCTGGTTTTCTGATGTTTCTCCATATTTTTATCCGTGTGTTGTTGTAGTTAGGACATATGGTTTCAAAATATTGATGTTTATATTTTTCAGTAATCTACTGCTTTGTTGTTGTTGCAAACACTTTAACAGAAGTCATTTGTTCTTATAGGCTCTTGCTAACCAAGCCTTGAAAGCTGCTTCATACACCCTTCCAGATGGAACTATTATTGTGGACCCAAGGAAGCCAAAGAGTCCAAACCTGACAGCAGCCCTGCAAAATCCATATCTAAAAGGGGTATCCTACGCACTGCCTGATGGAACCATCATCATTGACCCAAGAAAACCAGCTGGCCCTAATCTTTCCAAAGTATGTTTTCTCTGTTCAAAATTTGACACAAGCTGTTCAAATTGTGGACTAAATTTAAACATATGATAGAAGCTTCAGCATGTTGAATTTATAGAGTACACATTTTATATATTGTATTGCAGAAATATTCTTAGCCATTGAACTTTTTCACATTTTTGTTGTACAACATTTTAATGGTAGAGCATGAGAGGAGTTTTTACAGCTGCTGGCTGGGGAAAACAAAGGCTGTTGCCACTTGGTTAGCGGCAGAGAAAGCTTCTACAGCTGCAACTTATTCACTCTTGGGACAGTGGAGGCAGAAAAGGGGAAAGCAGTGGCAGTGGCTGCTGGGATAAATGAAAGGGGAAAGTAGCAGCAGCTGCCTCTCTGCTAGTGGTGGATTACATGTGTGGGGTCAAGCTTCCACTTCTTTCAGCTTTTGGTGCGTCTCTCAGGCTTCAGCTTGGCTCACTTTGGATCCAGGGCTTCTTGGAAGAAGCAACATCTTTATCCACCAGTAATAAAAGATATATAAGTTGTGGAGATTTATTCCTGTTCTTTCACTTTCATTTTTTGGACTGCAATTCAGTCAGCTGCTATGTTGTTTTAAAGTACTTTAGAAAAAACATGGTATGATTTTGGTATGGATTAGTAAATACAGGCCAATAATCCTGAAGTAAATACTATTAATTGTGATTGACAATAAGTGGCATGATTTGAAAATTGATGTGTTGTTAGGCCTGCCCAACACCTCTGCAGAAACTCAATCCAAGACCACATGAGTAATGAATGTTGAAGCAATAATAGCTCCCAAACACCATGTAAAGGGCAGAAATGCATCAAGAAATATTGTGTCCAATGTGTTGATCCACACTCGGCATGAACCATACCATGGAAGCAGAACTGCCCTAACTGCTACAAAGTGTGCTTGTTACTGGTATTACAAAATGACTCTAACTTAATTGTTGCAAGAAGCCATGTGACAAGGCCTGTTGCAATAAGCAATAAATCAATCGATCGCATGATAAATTAAAAGGAGCTAAATCGTTTCCATTTGCATAATTTATCGTTTTTCTCTTTGCTCTCTCTCTTTCTACCAAAAACTGGATGACAAAAGTCTTCAGTCTGCTGCTTTGGTCTCAAGTGGTCCTTTCTTTTAAAGACAGAGACTACATAATTCATTTTATTTGTTGTCTCTGTTGTTTTTCTTATTTATTTTGGATATTTAGAATGTCTTACAGTTCCAGTATTAAAGTTTATTGATCTTTTAGAATGTCTATGAGTTTGACATTATCATTATATTACTTGAAAATGGTCTGAAAACAAGATTATCGTTCATCAGAATAACTTTTGGGACAATTTATCATCCATCAAAATTTGTTATTGCGACAGGCCTATGTTGTACATCACAAAGAACGTGTAAAGAGAAACTCTCCCCATATTTTTTCGCTTCCCAATTCTGCAATTTTCTTTATTGGTTCATCACTGAAAATTACAATAACACACACGTTTTTTCTTCTTCTTCTTCTTCTTCTTCTTCTTCTTCTTCTTCTTCTTCTTCTTCTTGTTCTTGTTCTTCTTCTTCTTTTTGCAAGGCACCATAGGTTAGGGATTTATGGCCATTGTGATATTCATTAAGTTCTTTGATCTGCCCCTTTAGGCTCTTCTGAACCAGGATCTTCGAAGTGCGACTTACCGGCTCCCTGATGGTTCTTTAGTTATGCCTGGCCAGAAGCCATCCACTCCAAACCTGGCAGCTGCTCTTAGGCAGAATCAGGGACTTCGCTCTGCTGGTCTCTACCATCTCTCTGATACCTCAGTCCTGTCAGGTGCACCCAAACCCACCAGCCCCAACTTGACCTCTGCACTGCAGAACGAAGAGCTGCGTGGTATCACTTACAGGTGTGGAACTACATTTTTATTAGAAGCTGGACATTATAAAAAATGACTCAAGTTTACACAGTTTTGCAATGAATAACATGTTCAGCAGCTTATACTAATGAAGCATAAGGTCTGTTCCCAAGAGGTTATTCCATAAGGCCTGTTGAGGATCTGCCTGTGTGTGATAAATATTTCCCCTCAGCAAAATGTTCTTGCACAGATACAGAAAGGATGATGTTACTTGTAAATGATCAAAAATGTGGTTGAAACTGAAACGTATAAAGATGTTTACAGATGTTTAGATGTGGTTCAAAAGATCTTTGACATTAATCAAATAGCCTAATTTAGCCTGAATTCCAACATCTTTGTCAAAAACACAATTTCTGATGTGTTTTTTCTGTCCTAGCAAAGACAAAATCTGGTCAACCTTAAAAACAATAACAAAAAATGTTTTAAAGATAACTAAAAAAAAAAAACAATGAAATAATTCAGTCATAGTCAATAGGAGAAACATTGTATAAGTATTACTTGCAAGAGTAATGAAAAGTTAAAATGGACATTTGGTTCATGGACTCTATATTTTCTATACAAAAAAGGAGCTATCCTTTGTTTCACAGGCTTCCAGATGGCTCTCTTCTCACACGCCAGTTCCGCAACCCAAAACTGTCCGACGCCATCCAAAATCAGCAGCTTCGTTATGCTTCGTACACTGTGCCAACAGAGCTTCAGGGGGAGGACCATCGCTATGCTGTGATACCCCCGTATGGACCACGATCTGGTCACTGGGCCAGGAACGCCAGAGGTGGAGGAGAAGGTGGGGAAAATGTTTGGGCAGCTGAAAGGGTTCTGCCGCATGGGACGGTTCAGAATTTGTCCAAGTGGTCCATGTACAAAGAAGATGGAATGTTGGAAGCATATTCACCAAGCCCCCAGGTTCCAGAAAAACAGCTCCAGAACCTGGACTGGACTCCTGGAAGAGCTAGAGTACCAGGTCAAAGCTGGTATGACAAGGTATCTGTTTTCATTCATGTTTCAGTCATAGTTCAAGCATTGGGTAAAATAGGTAAAATATTAACCAGATGAAAAGTCACAAGCTTTTTTCTTCAATGTTTACCATATTCCATAATCTATGTCAGCTCTGCAACCAATATTGGTTATGTTTCTTAAATTTAGAATGGGTTTTGTTGTTTTGTTGACCTAATGCCATAATAATTGCATATTAATTGTGTCTAGATTTTTTCTATAATAAGCATGCCCACAACAAACCACAGAGTTGTACGCTGGGCAGAGGGAATGGAAGACATGACTCAGCTCCCGTAAGCACAATTCAGACCAAATAAAAATATTTCAGATTTTCTTCCTGCTACATTCTTTCGACGATTGTGTAGTTTAAAAAAGACATAGCCTTATGACAGGCTAAAAGTTAAATTTTTATTTGATGCAGCACTTTAGTAAATTTGTGTGAAACAATTTCTTTTCCAATCTTAAAAGATGAATTCATGCCATTGCAACAGAAGTTTAAGAAAACCCAGATTGTCTCTTTATAATATTAAAGAATGGATTTCAAAGTGAATGCATCACTGCTAATTAATTGTGACTGTGTTTTCAATGGGTTTGCCTTTAATTTCCTCTGTTTAATTTCAGTGAGCTGAATGAGACCACTGTTCTAATGAACCTGAAGAAACGTTTTGACCATGAACTTACATATGTACGTTCAGCGTCTAACATGACAATAAACTAATCTGTCCAAATATCACAAACACTAAGCAAATTCCTTTATTTACTCTGTTCCTTTCCCTCAGACTTACATAGGGAACATTCTTGTGTCTGTGAATCCATACAAGTTGCTCAACATCTACGGCACAGACATGGTGCACAAGTATGAAGGCCACGGTCTGAGTGACAACCCACCGTAAGACCTTGATGTTGTGATCCTCACTCAAATGTTTCACTGTGGGGATGGTGTGATTCAGGATGAGTTTTGTCTCCGTTTCTCTCACACACAGTGTTTTGCATGTGGATCAATAGGTTTAGTTTTGGTCTCGTCTGCCGATCACCTTCTTCCACGTTTCCTTTGTTCCTTACAGCTTATAGCAAAAGCTAAACAGGACTTCTTATTGTTTTTTTTCTGCTATTGTTGGATAAAAGTCAAATGTAGGAGAGAATCATTATTAGTTCTTATTTATTCAGATACTCCCGCTTGAGTTGTGGGTCTCTGCATCTCCTCTGGTTTTACCACTGACCTCTTGTCTGTTCCTTTTGGTAATGTTCTGTTTGTTGTGCTTTTCAAATTAGTTGATGTCCTTGATAAGTTAGTAGTTGTGGTATCATCTTTCCATTTTTAGAAAATGGAAAGTGAAATACCTAAGGCTTAGAAAATTGCTTCAAACACTATTGCAACATAATAATAAAATACAAGGTTTGTGCTTGTAAAAATGTGTAAAGGTTGGAGGTGTAAGGTACTTTTGCAAGAATACTTTCATATTATTGAACTGTATCAGTTACAGTTGTGCTCTTGTTCTGAGTACGTCTACATGGTAAGCCGTACTTAGAGATGCAGTATCATGGTAAGCAGGGTGTAAATGCCTGCGCTCTCTTATGTAAGTGATAGGCTACTGTTACATTGTAGCTGGTTGGTTCCCAAGGCAGCGTTTGGTCATGTTTTTCACTACCACATATGCATTAAACAGACACACTCAGCACCCAGAAGTGACAGGCGTAAAAATAATGGTCATTCATGAAAAATGTCTTTGTGTTGCAGTCATCTCTTTGCCATTGCTAATCTCTCATATACAAGCATGATGGATGCCAAAAAGGACCAATGCATTGTGATCAGGTATGAAATGTCACAGTTGCTGCTGCTAATATGTTTTTATTAAATACTGATTTCAGTAAGCAGCTCTTAAACTGAACAAAATATTACCATTTTAATGTCTTTTCTCTGGGAACTGTTAAGGTACCAAGAACGATGAAAATTCTTCATCAATATTGTACAAGTATGGCATAATAAATGGTATATCTGTAATTCAGAATTGTGTTACCTGAAGATACCAACTTTTTAAGGCCATTTTCTGGGAGCTACAGAAATAAGAATATCATAAAAAATGTCATTTCAATAAAATTCATATTATATAGATATAGCTTTTTTATGCACTCATCCACCCTTTTCCGTGCCGTACCTGACCATTTTGAGAAGAACACTCTTCTTACCATTCTTACCAATTAAAACTCCTGCACTGTACGCTCATCATTTTTCTTTTTCCAGTGGAGAAAGTGGGTCAGGAAAGACTGAGGCCACTAAGCTGATCTTGCGTTACCTGACAGCCATAAATTACAAACGCAACGTCGCTCAACAGGTATTCACTGATTACTGCTCTGTAGCTTCATTCTAATTTAGCTTTATGCTCTTACATTTTAATGAACTTTTTTTCCCCCATATGCATCATGTTTGTCCAGATTGAGGTATTTTTAAAAAAAATTATATATGGTAAACTAACATTTTCATTTTACAAAACCAGTGATGTTTTATTGACGATGTTTCATCAGATCCTTGAAGCTACACCCCTGCTGGAGTCTTTTGGAAATGCCAAAACAGTTCGCAATGACAACTCCTCACGCTTTGGAAAATACACACAAATCTACATGGAGGAGTGAGTAACTATATTTTCTGCTCTTGCTTTTATTGAACAAGTCAAATGATAGTTTCAGTTTTTTAGGACTTTTAAGCATCTTTCAGTTGCCAGTCTCTGCAAGGCATTGGGGCACCAACTCATTTTTGTATGTGGAAGTAGGACATAATCAGTAGTATCAGAAGCTGTTGATATATCTGACAGAAAACTTTAACAAAATTTAAATTAAAAAAAGCAATACCGGAGAGAATATCATTAGTAAGCCCGAAGAGCACTGACTATTTTTAGTTAAAATCTTAATGAATTTATTCAAATATGTAATTTTTTCTGTTGTACTCAATTGTTAATTAGAGAAAATTTGAAATGTTTTAGATAAAAAGGGGACATTTAGTCATAGATTTAGTTCACTAGTAAATAGAAGTCTGGGTTATATTTATCATGAAGGGTGTGACTAAATATATTTTTTATAAATGTCTAAGTATAGCACCAGTTCTATTTACACCAATTCAAAAGACCAGTTTCCATTATTTCCATAGTGTATTATGCAGAGATTAAATTAGCCTAATGCCATCAAGCTAAATTTATGTTAGTTTGATTCTGTAAAGACAACTCATCTGTTGAAATGGGAACACAGGGTCTTCCTGGTAAATATGTAAACATGTCCCAGAAGCAGCTACATCATGATGACATATGTTCTTAGAGCAGTGATGTCATGGAGCCAACCACATTACACATGTATGACCTCTTACCTAACACAGCAATGAATGTTTGTGTGCCATTCACCAGGGGTGTAATCAGTGGTGCCATAACGTCTCAGTATCTGCTGGAGAAGTCCCGCATTGTCTTTCAGGTGAAAAACACGAGAGCACACACCTGTACACACACTCTGCGTGTCAGGAGGAGTCTTCTTACACATGAGTTATACTGAGAAAGTGGACAGGATGTAGCAGAGGTCCAGTTTCAAGTAACTACTACCCCACGACGTTTGGATGCATCTGTTCTCCAACACAGATGAATCACTAGCCTGGCCGTTTCCTTCATACGCAATTCAGTTTGATTCTCATCCTTCAGTGCTCTGTTTGGGATTTGTCATATTGAGTTCGATTTCTCTGGATGGATTTTATCCTGGCCAATCAGTGTATAGGAGGAACGACTGGTATTGATTTTCTTTTCTCCGTTTTAGAATTGCAACCTACCGTGGATGTAGTTTAGCAATGGCAGTGAAGGAAGCCATTCAGTTCATGTTGGCCACGCTTCCAAATCATAAAACTATTAAAGCTGGAGCAAGAGGAATGTTTTAAACATTTTATTGCTGGAAAAGATGTAATGGCCCTATTTCTCATGGGGTTATTTACAGCACACACAATTTTCAGTAAGCTTCATAGTGTGAAACTGATGCACTATATACATTAGCAACTAGGTAAAATTAAATTTCAACAAAATCTGTGCCTCCAGCAAGTGATGGCTTCTCAACTGCCCAACGTCCAGACCATCTGTATGAAGAAAACGTAGAACAAGGGGCTGGGCAAGCACCCCTAATGAATAATTTAATTCTCGTGTGTTAGAGAAGTGACGCATCTAAAGGTTGCATGACATGCGCAAAGTCTGCTGTAGAGGCATCAAGCCTTTAGTTAGTGCTGTTGGTTTTCATCCTTCCATTGAACAAATGATTGATTTCAGCTCTTTTGTGTTTTATAAATGCACAGGCCAAATCAGAGAGGAACTACCATATCTTCTATGAGATGCTGGCAGGTCTTTCCCCTCATGAGAAGTGTTCATTGTATCTGCAGGAGGCTGAGACGTACTACTATCTGAATCAGGTTCACTCACACAGCACGACACCAGGGACTTGGGTGCATCTCAATACATTAGAACATTTCAGTTAAGAGTGAAACTTGTAAATTAGATATTTGTTTTTCACTAAGCAATATTTTTAAAAATATATTGTCTGGTTTTTTTTTACTTACACCCCATGAAAATTTGCAACAGTAATATTATTAAAAAGACTGTTAAAAATGAGAGTGTTTTCTCAGCCTACTGAAAAGCATGCTGATGTACTCTACATTGTCTTAGGGTTAGGGTTAGAATAAATGGTCTGGGCTCCTTTTTTGAGATTCTGCATCACTGCAGTTTGGCATGGTGGCCATCAGCCGGTGGCCCAGCTGAAGCCCATGTTGCTTTCATAGTGATATACACCACACAGATGAGATGATTTATTTTGTTCTATTTTTGTCCTTGACATTATCTTCTCTGTGTAGTTGTACTTAAGGCCAGTTTTCTGGCCAATCAGTGACGGGGTGCCATCGTCATTAAAGTAGGTATTGATAGGGCAGTTAGCAAGTCACAGATTTTCAGGAGGAGGGAGCATGGATTTCACTCTTCCAGTTCACTTCCCCTTCCATGGTGTGAAAGTCACAGCCACAAAAACTGCAGCTCTTTGAGAGCATACATGTGAAGATAGAGGGCAAATGCTGTTTAGAGATAGGAACAGGGACTCGGTGTGCTGGGTGGCTCAGTTGTTAGAGCGTGGGCTGAACATGCAGAGGTTATAATCCTTGATGCAGTTGACCAGGGTTTGAGCTCCGGTGTTCTGTCAGATAGCCATATGCTGTCAGGATAGCATACATGCAGTCAGTACGCATGCCCGCGCATGCGCATTAAGAAGTCAGTGGAGTTGTCAGTTCAGCATACGCAACAAGTTATGACGAAAATAAGTCATTAAATTGTTTATAATATCATATAATATAACTAGATAAATATACATGCGTTGTCGTGGTTTCAAAGTGTATTTAAAGGAGGTCTGGCTGCAGCTGCAGTCAACTACAACACACGCCTGTGTAAAACTCATTAATCTACTTAACCGCTAAGTCAGGATGCCATATAACTGTTAATAACAAAGTGTATGATGATCTACGTCATGATTCTATGTTGCTGATTAAATAAAATCATATGGTAATGACAGTATATACATGTCTGAGGTAAGCGTATAACTATCTGACAAAGTATGCTGATCTGACAGAACACTGGTCTCAGGCCATTTGCTGCATGTCTTCTTGTGTCCACACTGTGGAATAACACCTCTTGTTATTGCTAGTAATTAAGTCACAGATTGTTTTAATTTTTTGCCTTATGCTTTTTCAAGATGTCTTCATCTTTGGTTAATAACATTGACTCTTGTCTGTTTTTTTTTTCTTTAATTAAAGAAAGATTAAAAAGAATTAGCTGATAAAGACCACACACGTTTTCATTATGCACTGAAAATCTCAGAAGTGAAAGTGGCTGCACTTAGTCTGATAATGGAAAATGTCTTACATTCTGTTGGTAATAAGCATTAATGTGTTGTGACGCACTGAAGTGGGTCTTCTGAACTGTAGCAGAATTAAACTTCAGAAGTTAGCAAAAATAAGCAGAGAGCTGCTGATGAGTTGTTCTAAAACCAGAATGAAATTAGATGAGGTTAAGTATATTGTCAGTGATGCTAATGAGACGACAGCTGTGTCTGTGTGTTCATGTGTGTGCAGGGAGGAAACTGTGCAATAGAGGGTAAGGATGATGGGGAGGATTTCAGGCGTTTGCTGAATGCCATGGACATCCTGTGCTTCACCCCAGAAGAGCAAAATGGTATCTACAGACTTCTGTCCTCGGTGCTTCATCTGGGGAATGTCTACTTCCAGTCACATCAGGTCTCACTCAGTCAAACTGACACATACACACCTTGCAAAAGGATGCATACCACTTCAAATTTTCAACAATTTGTCTATATTATAACCACAACTTCAATGCATTTATTTATTTATTTTACAAATACCAATTCAAAATCATTTGTACTCATCCCCCCCGAGTTCTACATTATAGAGCCACTTTTGCCTGCTATCACAGCTGCAGATTTTGTGGCTGTGACTCTATGAACATTGTCTACAGGCAGATTGTTTTATAGCCTAGTCTCTGTCATACTAGAATGAGTAAATCTATGAACACAAACTTTCAAGGAAAAGTTTCACATTTTCAGCACATCCTTAAAAGGGGAATATCACAATAAAGACACAATGTCACCTTCAGTTGTTATGAAAATGCTGTATAAATCAAAATACAGCATTTTCATAACAATGAAAATGTTGTATTTTGTCTTAGAAATTTGTCTTCACCTTGAGATTGTTCTGTCTGTTTAAGAACCTCTGGCAATTCCCCTTCAGCACGTCATCACAACATTGCTTCTCTATGCTGTCCATTGATGCTGTTTACAACCGTTCTTAGGAGCGCTGTAGTTTGCATGATGAGCTCAGTAGATGTGCAGTTCCACCTGGAGTTTGCTAGTTACAGCTTTCTGGTGGAGTTATAAGGCAGAAGAGTGGGCGTGGGGGGGAGGGCTGGAACTTGGCTGAAGACTGAAGCTCCAAGGTGGAGCTCTGGGGAAACGGGCAGCTCTCTCAGGCATTAAGGCATCCTGAATCACCATGAGCGACTCAGGGATTCCTCAAATATGCATAAATGAGTCAAAGCAACACTCCGGGTATATTTTTATTAGAAAATGACATCAGAATGTGACAAAGCTCAAAAAATCAATTTTGCACAATATCCCCCCCTCAAACAATCACAGTGCAGGAAATTGTATAAATTCCAAAGCATAAATAAAGCCAGTACAGTCCCACACAATATATGTCATGTAGTCAACTATTCTTCAGCAGGGAGCAGGCGACACCATCTCCTCAGTGACTGTACATACATAAAAGCAATGGAAAACTTTTTCAAGGTGTGACTGGCAAATTATTTTTATCTGGTTCTTTTGCACCGCTCTGTTTTCTAATGCCGATGTGAGAAACCGCCACCGAGGTCCATTTAAAAAATATGTCACTGCAACGCAATCTCCTGAGCTGTAGATCTTTCCAGCATTCCAGTTTTATTAAATAAATGCATTGATGTTTGTGATGTCACAGTCTAATGTGGCATGATGTGAAAACATTTCAGGAGTATGGATACCTTTGCAAGGTAATGCAATATAAAACTCTATTCAGTTTCAAAGACACAGCAGATGGTGACAGCATGGCTGCATGTATGTGCCTCTGTCCAGGTTGAGGGCCAGGAGGCTGCGGCGGTGGTGAGTGCACAGGAGATCAGAGTGGTAGCCGTGCTGCTGCAGGTTTCACCAGAGAGTCTGCAGAAAGCTGTCACTTATAAAATGACTGTAAGCACATGGTCAACCTCACACTCAACCTTAATAGGATGTTTCCATGTTTCCAGACTGTTATCATACCGGCATGAGAGCGGTGCTAGTTATCCAATTTGTGTCTTTGAACTCTCTTGCCCTCTGTCCCTTAGGATACAGGGAGGGAAAAGATCTACACTCCATTGACAGTGGATAGCGCTTTAGATGCCAGGTGAGTGCCTGAAGTAAATTCTCAGTAAAAGAATTGAGGTTATAGCATTTTGTTTTTGCAACTGAACCCATTCTTGACAGTCTTATTTGAAGCTTTTTTAATATTCTTGTTTTAACCCTTCTATAAAAAAAACTACACCAGGAGACTTCATACACAGGGGGAGTGGAGAGTCTTTGATATTCTCTTCCAATCTTTGGTTGAGGCATGTGAGGACAAAGGATCTCAGGGCCGGGGGGAGATTTTTCAGATGTCTTCTGTTACCATAGGAACCCAGTTTTCTGTTTCCATAGAAACCTTATTGTGTGTTTTTTTTTGTTGTTTTTTTTACAGAGATGCTGTTGCCAAGATCCTGTACACGCTGCTCTTTAGTTGGCTGACAGAGCGTATTAACGGACGGGTCTACCCTCGCACTGAAGCCCTCTCCATCTCTGTACTGGACATCTACGGATTTGAGGTCACGCTATGAAGCAATCTCTTCTGTAGATTTTCCTCTGCTGATGGATTAAAGCTTGCCTCTGTTAACTTACCCATACACCTCTCAATGTCTTCTCTTTTGCTCTTCAGGAGCTACAGGTGAACAGTTTTGAGCAGCTGTGCATCAACTACGCAAATGAAACTTTGCAATTCTACTTCAACAGGGTCGTCTTCCAGGAGGAGCAGGTCAGGGAGATCACAAGTTAAGACTTCTAGATCAAGAAGTTATACACTGAACTGGAAAAAAATTCTCACACATATCTCACACTTATCCAAAGCCAGACTTATTTTTAGTTTTTGTAAGTGTTCTTAAGCAGCAGCTTTTTCAGACTTTCTGAAGGTCAACAGATGTTTTTCTTTGGACTTTGATTGGTTTTTCATTCATTTTCAGCTTTATACCTGATCATACCCACAGGGATGATTTTTGCTTTTAAATCCTTTTAACTCTGCCAAATCATTCAGGGCTTAAATTTTACCTCATCAACCTAATTTTCTTCTAAACCATTAACAATGGCAGAGAACAGTCATATTTTAAAACCAAGTGATTCTGAAAGAGATGTTAAGTGAAAGCTTTGTATCCACTGTCAGGTGTTTTAGATTCTTTTCTAATTATTAAATGCAGATTTCAGATGTTGTTGATATGATGCAGAGAGTTTTGTTTGGCTTAACATTTCTTCTGTTGACTTCCACAAGCCCACTTTCTCTGCTAATTTAAGCAGAAACTAGTTACTGCAGAGTTTGCAGCACACCAGGAGTATGTGAAATGAAATGAAGGTCTTAAGTACTGGGGAGCTTGATTATTGACAAGTGACAGATGGATGATTGGAAACAGGGTACAGGAAACAGGGTACAGCTGTGAGGAGAGACCAGAGACAGGCTGGAAGGAGATAGAACATGAGAAGAGCTGAGGATGAAGTAAACAATAATCGAGGTAAAACACTGATATAGGAAAGGCAGGAAAAACTAAGCTGATTACAAAGACTGAACTAAAAAGTAAGAACTAGAGCATAGAAAAGTGCAAACATAGAAACAAACGTATAACCGCAAACAACCCAAGTCATGACAAAGCTATGTCCATAACACACAGTCATGCTATCACTCTAACAATTGATGCAGCTCTTCTTTCAGATAATCTAATAGTCACACATGCAAACATAAATGTTAAGCTCTATAAATGTGCAAAACTCATTCCAGCTTTATTTCATGCATGTGGTGTTTGTGTATTGCTTTGAAAGCTCACCTTGCTGACCCCTGCCTGATATGAGCCTTCCTTGACTGGACATAGTTTGTGAAACATGATTATGCAATTATTTCTGTCTGCTGGAAGAGGATCATTCAGGCAAAGCAGAGCTTTATACCTGTGGTCACATATAACGCGGGTATGACGAGGCAATGTAAGCTATGAAGTAAACTTAAATCAAAAAATCCAAAGCTGCAGACAGAGCCTCTGAGCTCTGCAAATCTGAGCTTAGCTGTGAATCTAAGAGCAGCTGTTGGAGACAAATTGGGGTTTTGTGAATTCAAAGACAGAACACTGTCACTTTGTCACTAGAGACATAGATCAAGCTGTCTGTTCAGGGTAGATATTCTTTTTCCTACTTTTTCCTTTAAGCTGTGCTAAGGCCTGTGGCTCCCAGTAGGTGTGTTTAACCTGGAACCTACAAGCTTCAGTAAATTGTTCCCAGTCTTGTGCAGGTCCATGATTCTTTTCCTGATATCTCAATTGATTTCTCAATATTTTCCCATCGTGCCATACAAGAAAGCAGCATGTTCAAGCTGTGGCCTTAAAATACATCCACAGGTGTTCCTCCAATTATTTCAGATATGTCAGTGAACCTATCCAATGTTTCCAACATCTTGAGACATCATCTGTGCTTTACCTCATTTTTTAAAGAAATTGAAATAATTTAGTATGTACACTTCTGATTTAGAAGACATAAAAACAATAATTCTCTGACATATTGAAAATAATATTGATATTTTTAACTGACCTGAAACAGTTTGGTCTGATTTAACTTCAGACACTGACAGGAAGGTGTTTGTTTCTTTATTTGATGTCTGTCAGTTTCTGGGATCAACTGGGTGCCTTTTTAGTCACACTGACCACTTTACACGACAGCCACATTTATCCTTCCACATCCATAAAAGTATGTACATTTATACACTTGTGCAGAGACTGGTCTTTAATTTGGGCTTAATGCTCATGTGACCACATTATTTCAGGAAGCTGAAATCTAATCTTAAACCTTCCGATTGTAAGACAACTGCTCAACCTCGGAGCCATATTTATAAGCCATGAGGAAATAAACAAATGAGACTGCAATGGAAAGCTACCAATGAGTTATGAGGTTACAGTTGGAAAGTGGAGGTTGGGCTTCAGTTCAAACCATATTTTCCAGCCAAAACAAAAGTATTGGTAACAAAGTCTCCAAGATATTTTTCAGATCATAATGTGAAGATTTATATGGTGACTTCTGTTGTAAGAAGGAAGTTATCAGAAGCTTCTGCCTTTTGAGAGCATGGTTGGGACAGGGGGACTTTTAATTAAATGCAATTGATGGATATCATATGGACCCACAAAGATAAAACCTGGCAAAATAAAACATTTTCTTACCTGATAAACTTTATGCTTTTTTGTGATGGTTTATTGGTTTTATTAACCTCATGAACTTTGTTGTTGTGTGCTGAATTGTGTTCTGCAGGAGGAATACATGCGGGAGCAGATCCAGTGGCAGCCACAGCCCTTCAGCAATAACCAGGCATGTCTTGACCTCATTGCTGCAAAGCCTCATGGGATCCTACGCATATTGGACGACCAGTGCGGCTTCCCCCAGGTACCAAACATGTTTCCCATTTTGGCATTTAAAATATGGATAAGAGTACACTGAATAAACACACAGAATCTTTACACTGATCTTTTTGTCTTATAGTGCTGAGAAACAGCCAAATGTTAGCTCTTCATAAATCATGAGCCTGTTAACCCTTGTGTTGTTTTGAGGGTCAAAAGTGACCCACTACCATGTTTAGCTGTAGAAAAAATACTTGGAACTATCTTTTTCCGACTTAAAATTGTATGACCTTTCTTAAATTGACCCCATCATTAGAAAAAGTGACACTTTGTTTTTGTTTATGTTTTCATGTGGGCTGTACACCACTAATGTACAAATATTGTCTTATGGGTCATTTTGGCCGTCGCTGATTCGATTCCCGACATGATGACCGTAGTTGCATGTCTTCACCCTCTTTCATTACCCACTTTCCTGTCTAACTAATTATAGGTTGTCTGAATAAAGCAAGATGTCATAACACTGAACTATTGAGAGCAATAACTGATTGAAATAATTCATGCTTAACATTTAGAAGAAATTAAGTTTTAAAAGCTTTCTCTGTTGAATATTCCATGATTCAAGGGATTGTATCATAGCCAGATAAGATCAATATGAAACTATTAAACATGCTGACTTAATTATCTACCTGCTGCTATCATCACTTCAACATGATAAAATGATTGAGCTCATATTGAGATAAATGTATTACAGAGTCTGTGGAGCTCATTGTGAATTAAGAGCAGCATTTCATCAGGGACAGACTGAATCAGTTTTCCAAATATGTATGTCTGCTATAGACACATGGTTTCCATGGTACATCAACCATTAACCATCCACAATTATCACTAGGCAACAGACCATACCTTCCTTCAGAAGTGCCACTATCACCATGGTAATGATCCACTGTATGCCAGGCCCAAGATGCCATTGCCAGAGTTTACCCTGAAACACTATGCAGGGAAAGTCACCTACCAGGTACATTTCTGTCTGTTTTACTTTGTTCACGGTTTAAATTTTCTGTCTGAGCTCCAACAATGTGCTTTACAGGTTCATAAATTCCTGGACAAAAACTTCGACTTGGTGAGGCAGGATGTTTTAGACCTCTTCATTCAAAGCAGGAACAGAGTAAGATCATGCCAGTTCTATCTTCATCTGATGAGTAATCCAGATTTTGTTATTTTTAAGCAGTGCATTCCTCGCTAAAATCTTTCAGAAATAAAATCCCATTTAGCTTTCAACTAGCAGTTAAATTGGTTAACATTTTGGGTGGCATTCTGGAAGAAACACTTGAAAATAATCACAAAATGTTTTTATTAGAAGAATTGAGTGAAAATATTGTTTTAACCCTTTAAGCCTTTTTAATTTTTATTACATTAAAACCAGAAACTTCAACGTATTTTGTCAAATTTGATGCAATGGACCAACACAAAGTTGCAAGTATGTGTATGCTGCACATATTTATAAAATGCAAAGACAATAATTGGGCTTTTTATAAACTTTCATAATAAAAAAAATACTCAGAAGTTTAACATTCATTTCTATTTAGCTTTCCTTCCAGTGATACTCAAAAAACCACAATGACCTCTTGGCATTGCCTGAGTAAATAGGGTGTGTCATTTAATCCAGCTGGTCAATGAAGGCCCCAGTGGCCTACAACAAGAGCACCATTCCAACAATACAATGATTTTCTGAGTGTAATATTACAAAATGTGAAAAACATCAAAGGCTATGAAAATGTTTTAAGGTGTGGTGGGTGTGTTGCAATGTAAGCTGTGATCAGTAACCACAGGCTGCAGACTGTAATTACAATACTCTCCTTGTAAAAAATCTCAGTATTTTAACTATTCAGATAGTTAATGTTTAATGTTTAGGTATCTTTAACAAATATCATCCTCGTGTTACCAGAGAAGCTCTGTCTTTTAGGCTAACTGTACATGCTCTGTGTTTGTGTTCAGATGGTATCCAGCCTTTTCTTGAAGCATTCTGAGTCTTTGACGCAGCAGCACTCCAATTTGCGTCGCAACAGTGCAGCCCGACGTCATCAGACCAACACAGTTAGCGCAAAGTTCCAGAGCAGCCTGCAGGAACTGCTGGACAAGATGGAAAGGTTTGTAGATACTACAGACTTCTCGCGTTTTTTCTACCAGACATTCATACTTGAAAGCATAAAGGGCATGTGGATGCCTTCTCACATTAACTGTACACAGCCGAAATGGCAAATATGATTGAACTCTTGTCATTGGTAAAATGAAACCCATGATAAGTCATTCTGAACACCATCAACAGTTATGAGACAGTGCAAGACGAAGGGTTTATAAATGTCCAAAGTGTAGGGCAGGGGTGGCCAAGTCCAGTCCTCGAGAGCCACCATCCTGCAAGTTTCAGATGCATCCCTGCTTCAACACACCTGAATCAAATGACTGGCTCGTTATCAGGCCTCTGTAGAGCTGATCCCGGTCTGTTGGAGTAAGGATACTTCTAAAACTTGCAGGATGGTGGCTCTTGAGGACTGGACTTGGCCACCCCTGGTGTAGGGTGTAAAAGAAGAGTGATGGCAGGAGCATTTCTTCCATTGTTCTAATCTTTTATATCTGTTGTAAAATAAACTTATTTAATGTAAAAAATTCTGAATGTTTTGTTTCACAAGTGAACAATTCCAACAGCTGACTAAGTCCAAAGCCATAAAACTTGACATCTCGCATAAATTGAGAATAAAAATCTTAGGACCACTTTCAGTCTTATGCTAATTTTATGTTCATCTATTAACTAAATAGATTAATTGACACATAACTCATGGCTATCTGCAGAAAAAGTTTATTCTCTTTAAATCTACACTAGAAAACAGATGCACCTTTTTAGACAAAAAGGTTAAAATAATGCCATAAGTTACTCATCTGTGCATCAACTGTCATCCATCTGTGACAGGTGTAACCCTTATTTTGTACGATGCATCAAGCCGAACCGTCATAAGGTATATTTGCAAGTTGGATGATGTGTGCCGGTTTGCAGTGTTGTTTTTTTATTCAGTTTATACTGATACACAGTTCACCTGTGTATGCAGAAGCCAGGAATGTTTGACATGGATATGGTCAACACGCAGCTGCTTTACTGTGGCATAATGGAGACAATACGTATAAGGAAGGAAGGCTATCCAGCAAGACTGCCCTTTCACAGCTTCCTGTCAAGGTTTGTTATTGAAGATTTAACAGTGAGCATATTTAAAGGCAGCTTAGGTCAAATCAGTTGTACTTATGTAGAAAGGGGATTTGAAATTGGTCTGGGGTCTCTGTAGCTCTGCATTAGCTACCTGTCACACACTAAAAATCTTATTATGTATGGAGGACGGAACCTGCCAAAATTAACAATAAAATAGGAATAAATAAATGGCTTGATAAAGTAATTAATGTGCCAACTATTGTATCTTAAAATAAAAATAATTTTCCTAACTTACTTGATTAAACACTGTGACAAAAAAATCTGAAGTGATGTTCTAGAGGGATTTACATCTAGATGTGGCTTAAGTCAAGATTTAAATCTAATTGAAATGCTATTAGATTGTGACCTTAAACAGGAAAACCCTGCAGTGGAACTAAACTTAACATAAAACACTTTTCATTCATGGCAATCACTCATTAGTGCTTTTACACTAGAACTATACTCCTCAAACATCACTCACAAACACATTTATTCATTGATGTGCAGATCAGGAAGCAATTTAGGATTAGGTGGCTTCTGAAAGTCACATCAAAATGTGACAATAGGAAACCAGAATCATCAACTTCCTGAGTGCAAAACGTCTTTTCCCATTAAGCCACAATTTCTCCAAAATTAAGGCAATCCTGCAAAGAAGATTGGGCCAATAAAGGATTAAACCTTCAAATCTGCTGTGGACTGGTTTTTCCCTTTGAAAATGAAATATTAATTAAAAAACTGTACATCACATTTCTGCAGGTTATATCTATAAGCTTGTTCCATGATCTGAAATAGTAAAAACAGAAGAAACCTTTGAGGAGTTTGACACTTTATCACATTACAGTAACAAACTGACTATTTTTAATTCTGACGGAATTGAAAATATTAATTTAAAATACCGTAGTATTTGTCAACCTCCCTTTTCACCTTCCTGTCTTGAAAGACAATGTTCCTGTGGCTCTCACCACTCTTTCAAAATCGTTGTAATTATTGCCTTTCTCTGGAGATAATACATTTCACGCAAACTGATCTCTTCATGTTGAAAGAGCCATCTGGCATTTGTCAGCTACCTCAGTAGGAAAGCAGATGAAACCAATTGATCTCCCAGCACCTCTCACCGTTTGCTGCCAAAGTGATTTGACTTACAGCAGCACTCACGCAGAAGCTAGTAAAACCAAGCAAGCAGCCAAACACTCTGAATACACAGAACACCAATTAGCCCCAAACAAGAGCTCTCAGATTAGCAGCCAAACTAAGATTTGCACAGATCAGACATGCAAGGCTGCAGCTTTGGGTTTCCTGTTCCTTGTTTACTTTGGAATTCATATTTCCTCATCAAACCCATGTTACATTTGACCACAGGTATAAAGCTCTGCTCTGTCTGAAGGATCCTCTGCCAGCAGATGGAGAAAATTGTGTTATCATGCTTCACAAACTCTGTCCGGTCAAGGAAGGCTCATATCAGGTGGGGGTCAGCAAGGTGAGTTCTATGGGTAACACACACACACACACACACACACACACACACACACACACACACACATGCATAAAATATGAGCTTGGGTGTTGCATGTGTCACATGTAGAAATCAATAAATTTACATTTTATGTGTCTGTTAGATTTTCCTGAAAGAGGAGCTTTATCAGCTGCTGGAAGGGAAGCGTGACCGTGTGTTGGACATAGCTGCCATGGTGCTGCAGAGATACACTCGCATGTGTTTTGCTCGGCAGAAATTTCTCAAATTCAGGCGAGGAATAACCCGCTTTGAAGCCCGTTGCAGAGGGTACCTGGTCAGGTAATTATATAACTCATTGCAATTGATGCTTTTCTCTGTACAAAATACAAAAATGTGTTTTGCACAACAAAACACAATATTATTTACAGCTTTTTGTTGCAAACTTTACAATATTTTTTTATGTATTTGTAAAATAAATACATGATTACATTACATAACTTTCCTTCCACTTCATAATTATGCACAAATTTGTGTTGGTCTATAATATTCAAGCCCAATAAAACACATTGAAACACATATATTTGTAACATGACATAATGTGACAAAGCATTTTGCTAAGGGCTGAGCATACAGTAAGGGTCGGATCAAGAGTTTGAAACAAATTAAACACGACTGCCACACTGTCGCACTGGACATCAACTGGTTTTAATGATTTCGTCCTAGTTGAGTCTGAAGTTTCACCCATCAGCTCAGGATTTTAGGCATAAGAGTTTGGTTTCACTGACCTGAACATGACCTACCTTCTCATGGAAAACCTCTTTTATTGTCCTTGATGTGAGGAGATAAGACCGGGGAGTTCAGGCTGTGCTCATCCATCAAAGGTGATAGATTTCCCAGTCCTGCAACAACAACCGCGAGTGGCGCAAATTTGCATTTTAGTCAAGTGTGTAAGAAGGCAGTAAAAAGGCAATAAAGTGAAAGCTAAATAGTTTGATTCTTTGATATTTCAGAAATAGCTTTTCAACTATGATAAATTAGGATGAATGACACTTTGTGAAAAACGTGCACTGAAACTATAGCAGTGCCATTAACATTCTGCACTAATCCAAGTCCAGTGACTGTCATTGATGGTGCAGCACTAAACTAAGCTAAATCAAACATGACAATGTTTTAGTTTTATGATGCTTATAATTTATCCAAATCATTTTTGCTTTTATTCCTGTTTCTGTATTTTCATAATTCATCCATCAATGATGGTAACACTTTTCCCAACAGAAAAAAAATTGCTCTGAGGAGGAAATATCTCATCAGGCTACGTTCTGCAGTTTTGCTAATTGTAAACCGTCAGCGCTACATGAGGGTATGCACACAGATTCAGCATCTTTCTGATTCAGAGGAAGCAATTAAAAATGAGCAAATGTGTGAAGTGTGATGCTGTTGTCTTATTGTCAGACAGTGGTGGAGCCTGCAAGGAAGGCGGAGGAAGTGAGTAAAACTGCAAAAATAAATTCACTTGAGAGATTAGCCACTTACATTAAATGTGCTACTGCAATGGTTAACTATTTCTGTGTGCAGGATCGGATCAACCGTGAAGTGGTGAATGTGACGACATTACCTATCCCTGCAGAGCTGGCTGGCCTGCTGCAGGCTGCTTCAGGTGTGCACACACAAACCTGGGCTCTCACAATAACACTGCTGAGCCAAGATGCAACACTGAGGTTTATTTGTGGCACTGACTAATTTCATACTGTTGCATAAACATACATGTGCGTGCGTGCGTGCGTGCGTGCGTGCGTGCGTGCGTGCGTGCGTGTGTTTCTCTGTTAGGGGGTGAGGAGCTGCATTCTGACTGCTTGGCAGTGGTCCAGGCTCCAAAGGTTCAGGTGGACCCTCAGCTGACCCTGCCCCTCGATATCAATAACTACCTCATAACACACTACATCCGGATCATGTTCAGGGTAATGACACTAGCACACACTGTTACATCAGCGACAGTGTGTGCATCAGTAATAGTTTGTACTTGCACATAGTGCAAATTCTTTTTAAGTGACTTTCTGAGAGTTTCAAAGCAACCAAAAAATAAACCCAGTTCCTTTAGGAAACGTTATGACTTTAAGTTTCACAAGGAATGGTTTCAACCTAGCCTGGTCTCAATTAAAATCTTGCTTCACTAACAATCTGGGATTTCTCCCCTATACTTGGATTGTCTCCAGTCGATTTTTGACCGGACCAATCAGTGAACAGAAGAAGTTGTGAATGATAACGTTGATTTTCTGCACCATTTTAGAACTGTAGTCTGCCTGTTGTCTTAGCGATGGCAGCGGAAGAAGTGAAGGAAGCCATTCCATCCACGTTGACATACTTATATGTGATATTGAACTAACATTAACAGCTGCCTCGTTCAGCTCAGTGTTTCTCTCTTTGCATTGGAGGATTGCTGTTTACAGCACAGGAAATTTCCAATAAGCTTCATAGCACTTCACATATGCCATAGTCAAATATTAGTTATAGGATAAGATAAAACATCAATAGAGGCCACAGCTCCAGAAAACAATCATTTCTCGGCAGCTGAGAGCCCAGACCCTCTGGACGAAGCAAAGCAAGACAAGGGTCTGGTTTTTACCAGGCTAGCTTCAACATATTAACACCTAAATAAATACAGTTAAGTGAAGCCTACACATCTGGTTCTATATGAAACACAGAAGAAAATATCTTCCACATCTGTAAAAGTGTGTAAATAGAAAATGGTGTAGAAAAAAATGTGTTTAAGTTTAATCTATCCCTCAATTCCTTCATCTTGATATGAACTTTGAGCAATATTTTATTCTCTACAAAATTTGGAATTTTCACAGCACATGTCAGCTTCCAACATCACTGAGCCATATTCTGTTTGTTTAGGGGTACACTGATTGCAGTTTTCTGGCTGATTGCCAATTACAGATGCTTGACCTGCCAATTCCGGTTTTGGCCGACACCCATTTTTTTGTCTGAAATGTTGCAAAATATAGCAGGAAAGTCACTGAGCTGGCAACAGTGAGGTGACTATTGTTAACTGCAAATGAGCAGACATGACCTGGTAGGTGGGTCCATCAGTCAGACTCTCTCACAGCAGAGCAAAAAGAGAACAGTGGCTGATTTTTAGATATTTGCTGAGGTCAATTAGATCCATGGATAATATCATCTTCATATACAATAAATCGACTGGCCAATTCTGTGCACCCCTAGTTTGCTTATAACCTCAACATACTAAATTTTCTCCAAAATTTACACCTTTCCTCTTCCATTAAATCCAGTCTCTATCTTGGTTTTATAACACTGGGAGAAAGACAAGTGCTTAGTCCTGTCTAAAGAAAACACAGAAAACATCAGCAGCTAACACTGTGTCACTGTTTAAATAGAAAACATGTTTGATCCACGGAGAAGCTGTTAAAGTCTTTGTTTGTTTCTGATGTAGGAGCCTCTGTTTGGAATGCTCACGGCTCCACTAGAGAACTCCCTGATTCGTCTGGATCAGGAGCTTAAGCAGGGATCTCTCAACAGCTTCATTCTGGTTCGTTTTGCATTTGTTGGTGAAACTCTATCATCGACACTCAGCTTATAGATATAAATTCAGTCAAGATTGGGATATCACATGAGTGACTTGCACTATTTTACACAAACATCCATTGGTGCTGTTGACAGATCCTGCGGTTCATGGGTGATCCGAACCTGAATGGAGCTCAAGAAAACATGTTTGGGAACTACATCATCCAAAGGGGCCTGTCCAACCCCAGCCTCAGAGACGAGATCCTGGCTCAGATAGCCAACCAGGTTTTAAACTAACAGTTTTTAAATCAATATACCATCTTATTTTCTTTTTTTAAGAACTTCATGGTTGTTCTGTAGGTGTGGAGGAATCCTAACGTGCTGAACTCAGAGCGGGGCTGGCTTCTTTTCTCCTCCTGTCTGTCCGCCTTCCTGCCCTCGCAAAGACTGGCTAAATACCTCCTCAAGTAAGAAAATCAGCTCTACTATTCTTATCCCTTGAACTTTTTCTCATTGTGTCACAATCAAACCACAAACTTCAGTGTTTTTTTGTTTTGTTTTGTTTTTTTACACTATTTTATATAATGGACTATCTTAAAATAGGGTGTAATTGCAAAGTTGAAAGAAAATGAAGGATGCTTTTTAATGCTTCTCATTCTCATTTTATGTATATATATATATATATATATATATATATATATATATATATATATATATATATATATATATATATATATATATATATAGTATACACACACACACAGTAAACTGGATAAAAAGAAACTTGCAGAAAGCAGGGACAGACTTTAAAATAATATCCCAAAATGCCTTGTATTAAAATATGAAAGAGTACAGCACTCCACATGGTTTATGTGGAAGACTGGCAAGAACAAAGTCATTGTTGAAAGAAAGTCATCAGAAACCTTCTCTGCAGGGATGGTTTTATGTATTTTCCAGGTGCAAAGTGACATTTTATATCACAATCAAGTAACTATGTTGCTTTCAGTTGTTATAAAATTGCTATATATCAAACATGTTTTGTGTGGAAGGCCAAAAAGAAGAGAACTACAATATTCTATAGGGGAAGTAACCAGACTATGAACAAGAACCGCGGTGGAGTGAGGAGTGAGAGCAGGACGGAGACGATTAATATTACAAAGATGGAAGAGTGCAGAACAAGTAGAGTTATTGACGTGGGAGGCAAAGGAGAGGGTGATGCTGAGGATGACACCCAGCCTCTTGACCTGAGAGGAGAGAGACATGGAGAAATTTTCAGCCAGGATAGAGAAGCTATGGAGTTTATTTAATATTAATTTTGTGCCTATTAAAATAAGTTCTGCTTTATTGCAATTTGACTTAAGAAACTTTAGGATGAACAAGTGTATTATTTAAAGGGTTAAATATAAAGCCGTAGCACATTTTTCAGATTTTTATTAGAAAAAAATCTTAATTATTTATTCCTTTGTATTATTTTATCCCATAAAATCACATTGATGTTTATATTTGTGCTGTGACAGTTATGTGGTCAAATTTGAGGGCTGAATTACCTCTGAAGTAACATACATCTGATATAAAGTTTTCGAATCACACACTTGTTTTTGTAGGTTTGTGTCAGACTATGGCCCAGACGGCTACGACTGTGTGTGTCAGAACCGTCTGCTCCAGGCTCTGCAGCGCCTCAGCGTGGGGCCTGAGTACGTCCGGACGTACCCACCCTCCCTGCTGGAGTGGACCGCCAACCGCAAGAAAGCTCACACTGTTCTACATGTACACTGCTTCGACGGTGAGAACACACACCATTTACAGTCAAGTGGAATTTTACATCCATAAGCCTATTGATAACTGGGAAATATACTTTCACTTTTTTACTTTTTACAAATGCTTTTGCTGATCCAACCATCCTTCTGACCTACATCACTAACCTACTTTATATTTTTACCTGAGCCCAGTCTGTCTTCAGCATTCAGCAGGGTAGAGTTAGTCATCTCTCCTTCTCTTATTTCTGCTCTCATCCACCTTATCTGCCCTCCAGTCTTTTGGCAGGTCCACTAAGGATTAGAGAACACCTGATACTCTGGCTTCTTGGCTGGCTCTGCTTGTGTCTGTTTCTGGTTTGGTTTTGTGATAGCCATGAGAACAATGCTGTTGAAACCAGTTTCTGTTTGGATTTGGACCTGAATGAGATTTATAAATGATTTTCATAAAGACAAAAGCTACTGCTTTTCCTCTCTAGGCATGTCCTTCTTATGTCCGCTGCATTCCTGGACGACAGGAGAGGAAATGGCTAAAAACATTTTACAACACAGGTAATGCAAATGCAGAAAAAAAAATAAAAAAAGGTAAGAATGATATATGTCAAGGTGAAAATTTTGCATCTCGTGTGTGTGTGCGTGTGTGTGTGTGCGTGCGTGCGTGCGTGCGTGCGTGCGTGCGTGCGTGCGTGCGTGCGTGCGTGCGTGCGTGTGTTTGTGTGTGTGTGTGTAGGGGTGTGGTGGACGGCCGTCAAGGCTGGTCGGTACTGCTGAAGGAGCCGGCTCAGTGGGTTGAACTTGAAGGCTCAGACTATGTTCTGGACTTGATGTCAGACCTGGAGCTTCCTGCTGACTTCCCCAAACACAACAGCTACTTCATCATCTCTGCTCTGGAGCCGGCCAGAGTTCGGCCCAATGCCAGCATGTGAGACAATACACACACACGCGCACATGCACACACACACACACACACACACACACACAGTATGTCTTTTTATCTACACTAGGACTTTGCATTGACTTCCTTTCAATTTCCATTCATTATTTTAGCCTGGGCCCCATAAGGAGCAGTTGGTCCCCACAACACAGTGATTGAATAATATATACAAGGCCGCGCACACACTCACACAGAACGAATGACGTTCCATGAAGCTAGCCAGCTGTTAAAATGATGACTTTGTGATCCTGGCTGGACAAAAACCAGTGGGGTAAAAACTATTTTTAGGATACATCATATGAGTTGGATCTTTGCTTTGTTAGAAAAAGTTTCTGTGTCAAATCTTTTGCTGCTCGACAGAAGTTGTTGTTTTTGGCCCATTCTGCTGGGCTCCCTTAGACAGAAACTTTTAACTTTTACTTAAAAGTTAATAACTTTTAATTATTAATTAAGCATACTTTACTGTTTGACTAGTTAGAATTGTGTGTTTGAAATGAAATTCATTATATTTCCTTTCTTATTTTTCCACTAGCTGTTGGTCATGTAACATTATCAAATTCAACCTCCAAGTTATATTTTTGATCCTCAGAGTTAGATTTATTTTCAAGTACTGGACACAATACTTGAAAATAAATCAAGTGTTGTGATATTAACCTTATCTTACATTCTACTATTCTAAATCTATCTTTTCCTTTCATTAGAAATCTGTTCTTGTACAGATTGAATGTGGGGCAGAATAGACCATGTAATCTCTCGCTAGTGGCTAACTCTCTCTCCAGACATCTATTACCCCCAATTCCTTTAAGATGTATTTATGTACCTGGATATGTGTGCTTTACTACTTTTTGCTTTACTGGTGGAGTCCAAAGACTGGTTTAATACAATATTGAAGTCCACTCCATAAATCAATATTCCATCTGTTTCCTGTGTAAGTTTATCAAATATCAATTTATAAAAATGCTTCTTTGTCTCGGGGAGTGGAGGGAATATATATTAAGTCATGTAACCAGAAATTCTTCCAGCTTCACTACAACCATAACATATTCACCTTCTTTATCTTTTACTTCTCTTAGATCTTCAAATTTGATTTTATTACCAATTAAATTTGCGAGTCCTCTTTTACTACTTCCTTTAAACGAACTAAAAAAAGTATGCCATATTTTTCAGTTTTTGATGTTCCAGGTCTGACAGGTGGATGACCTCTGCTTTCTCTTGTTTGCTTTTTTTGCTCTTTGCTTCTTCCTTTCAGATTATTCAACTCATTCACATTTAGATGAGGATTTTTAGCTTGATAAGTTGCATCTGTAACAAGATAATTGAGTTCCTTAGTCACCTTGACACCAACAACACATCAAACAATGTGAACTATAACAGAACAAAAACATCTGTGAACATTTAGTTAGTGTAAAACTAACAAGAAGATCACTGATATGTAGGCCTGGTGGTGGCAGTGTGATGCTCTGGGCTGTTTTGCTGATTTTGCATCTGGACAAATTAACTATAATTAAGGAAAGCATTAATTTTACTCTCTACCAGAAAATGCTGAAGTAGCATGCACTAAATAGCACCTTAAACACCAGATAATTATTTGTATATCCTTATAAAGAAAAGTCTGGAATAAGAAGAGAAAGTGCTTTCTTTTCTGAACTGAATGTGCAGAATTGTTTTACTTCTGTGACCATTTCATTAAAACTATTGTTGTAAATTATTTACAGAGAGAAGAACCAGAAATTTTCTTCCAATATTAGTTTAGATCAGTATAAAGAGACTGACATTTATCAGGTATAAACCAAAGCAACATTAATGTAATCTTCATTTTAAGTGTTTTGTTAGGCAGAGACCCTCCATCTTCAGGTGTTCTGCATTGATCTCCTTCGTTCCTGCTGGATTTACCATCTTCTTATCATCTGTTGTTGTTTGACAGAAGCCTGTTGGGGGGTGGCTTTGACATCAGCGATGACGTCAGTCCTTCAGCCATATATGACTCTGATCGGTTCAACCAAGGTGAGTTACTGAGACCAACAGACCAGCTCCTCCCTGTTGACTGTAGGAGAGCTAAAGACATCTTTCCTCTTCCCTCCCGGCAGATTTAGAGCCTCAGAGAGGGATGGATCGTTATCTCGACAGCCTGTTTGACCCTGTACTGTCGGATGGAGCTGGAGTATGTTACATAACTTCATCATCCTGACACTGTTTACCATCAACTATTTACTATCAACTATTTACTGTCACTGCCTATAGAAGCTCTTAAGTGTTGTGGATCCTAGAGTTGATCTGAAGCAAACAGACACAGAACAGTGTAAAGCTCTAGCTTAATTTTTCTGGTAACAAAGAAAATAGTTGTATCCTTTTGCTGAAAATGAATATCTGGTCCCTCTCAGTGGACATATACTCTTATTCTTCGTTCAGACTCTTGTACTTGACAATTTTTAGATGAATGTGTTTTTAGTTTGTTGGTTTGTTTGGATTTTCTCTTAGTCATTATAGCAACACTTACCAAACAACTTAGCATTTCAAATTTACATGCAACACTTTAACTGAATGTAGGAGAAACAACAAAGATAACACAGTTCAGCTGATATAAAACTGCAGTTTGTTAACCCATATAAATTACTGCAAGAGCAAACGGCACCAAATTCTTACAATGGAAAGCTTTTTGTATTACACATATTGGGAAAAACTAAGCTAGTTTCCTCACAGCTGGATGGGGGGAAACATAGACATTTTTTTATATTCATTTCAATATATTTGTTTCAATACATTTTCAACTTCAATCATAACTTCTTAAAATTCTTGAAATTATTCTAGTAAAGAATCCCTGCCTGGTACAGTCAGATTCAGATTTTTTCCTCCTAAATTGTCAGATCTGGTCAGAAACTAAAGTTCTCAATTAAAGTACATAACTAGAGGGAGTTTCTGACTGTACAACTATTATTAAAAAAAAAAACCTCAGCAGTTTTTAAAGATTTTAAAATTCAGCTAATATTGTAATGACACAGACTGACAGAAGTGTTAAAGAAAACAGCTGAAGCAAATATCAACGTTTCAGGATAGTTACTTTTGCATTAGTAAAATAACTGATTTGGACAAATTCTGCCTTTCCTACCACCGACCACTGATGGGTCAGTGGTAGGAGTTCGTCCCTCAACCTGTAGGTTGCTGGTTCAATTCACACTCTGTCTGTCTCTGTGGTTGTGTCCTTTGGCAAGACATTTCACCCACTTACCCTGCCTGCTGCAGGACTCACTTCTGTCAGAGTACAGTAGACTACATAACGTGAATGAATACATGTAGTATGAAGCGCCATACAAGTACAAACTATTAATAAAAACTCTGAAAGTGAAGAATTCGGACCCGTTTCTGTGGCAGTCGCTCCTTTGGGATGTCTTGGTAGCTTATTTATAGATTATCCGTAATATTGTTTGTTCATATTTATTATTTATTATCATAGTCAAAAATTCTGGTATTTAGTAATTAAAACAAAAAAAAACTTTTACACAGTATGGTATTCCTTTTCTTGGTACAGGACAGATCTTATTTACAAGTTGGACATTTGTACTAAAATGTGTGTTTAAAAAAACAAGTGTCTGTTCCAGTAGGATCATGGTGGTGGGAATATTGAGAAACAAAAAATGTAACAGCAATCCATTAAAATCATGACTTTGGAAAGTGATGACCTCCGTCTGTGACAATATACCTCACCTGTTCAGTCTTTCAAAACTGAAGAAAACTGAGCTTGTTGACTGAGATAAAAGTTTTCTGTGAAAGCTGACCAGACTGGACCGATCTCTGTCCAACTCTGCTATCGGATGTAGCTGACAGGAATTAGCATGTATCAGATGTGTCCTGCTACACATCTGATACAAACGCAAGAGTCAATCTGTAGCAGGAGAAATGGCTTCGTGCTGAGCCCGCTGCTGAAAAGTGTTTGTTTAGCACATTAAGAGCGATCACAGCCCTGAGTCTGACTGTCAGACACAGCTTCCAAAAGAGAGAAATCGTCTTGTAGTTTTATATTTTCTGCCTACATTGTATTCATCTGTCTGAACCTAAACTTTTATCACATTTGTTTATATTTATCAAAATAATGATGATAAAAAGAACTTTGAATTGGTCTTCTTGGCAGCACACACTGTATGTCCTGGCATACATTCAGTCTCATGAACAAAAATATAGCTCTAAAAATAAAACTTTCCCATTAAAAAACCAGACAGACGGTCTGAAGGTGATGTGATAAAAACATAATAATGGATGAAAAAAGTACAAAAATACAACTCAGATTTTTGTACATTTAAAGACTGTCTCTTTTCTAAGGAAGAAGAGTTGACTGCAGGCCTGTCACACAGGATGAAGGGGGCCGGGGGCGTCGGTGGGAAGTGGCAACAGCCGGGGCAGTCATCTGGCCACCCACCTCCACCTGGAGGTCTGCAACAAACACAAAAACATGCTAAATATTCCCATTTTCATACTTTACCAGCTGGTTAAAAATCTTGTGAGCTCAACGGACGAACATTGAATCTGTCAAACGTCAGCTGTTTGTTTGTGCTTGTGTCCGCAGCTGTGAGAGTCCTTCCTGTGGGAGGCATGATGTCGCCTCCTGTCGCTGCTGTGGCACCTGTAACACCTGGTTTGTATCAGACATGACAATAAAAATGTAAAACACAAACACATCAAACAGTCAAGTGTGAGTTTCCATGCCTTCATCCTGTTTACTTGCTGTTTCTCCTCTAGAAGACCAGCAAGCTGTTTTGGCCGAGCAGCAGCAGGCGATTGTGAACCAGCAGGCCGTCATCATGGTAACTCCCCCGTTTGGATTCTTGTCTGTTTATCTGTGTCACTGCTGCTGCTGCCGTTTGATTCCATGCGTCATTTTCTTGTTTCTCAGGCGCAGCAGATGACCATGCAAGCCATGGCAATGGTCAGCAGTCCTGTGTCGAGTCCCCTAACCTCCCCCATCACCAGCCCTCCAATGAGTCCCGTACCCCATCATGCCCTCACCAGCCCATACGCTGTCATACCTCCAAGTCCATATGCGAACATCCCGCCGAGCCCTTATGCTAACTTCACTCCGACTCCCTACGCAGCAGCCGTGTTTCCCCCCAGCCCTTATTTTCCTTCTGCTCAGCGGGATCACACTGAATCACAGCCAAACGCTCAGCGCCCTGCTGATCCCCCGACTGAGCCTCGGGCCCAGCGGCACAGTCGGCCCGCCTACCGTGACCCTCATCTCAGCTCCTCCAAAGCTGAGCCAGCACAACCAACATTTAAACCTGCTGTACAGGTCAGAGACTTTGACACAGTTTACACTGACATTTTGCATTGTCTGCATACTGAAAAAGAAATGCAGTTTTTGTACTGTGGGCGGAATAAATCCTTTATTTAAGGCTATTGGGAGGAAGAAATTGATTTTTATCGGGGCAGAAATTTAGCTCTGACAGTTTTCTGTTGCAATAATGCCTTGAAAATATATTTACACCTCTTGACCTTTTGTCCTATTTATTATATTCCGTCATACAACTCACTGAAATTCTGGACATTTTTCTTTGCAAAATAGCTAAAACTCAGTCAGATTGGATGGAGATTGATTGAATTTTCAAATCTTGTAATTGATTCTCGCTTGGATTTTTGTGACCTCTAACAAGCTTTCTTCCAGGCTTGCCCTGTATTTAGCCCCATTCATCTTCTCATCAACTCTAACAAGTTTTTCTGTTTCTACTAGAGAAAATTCTCCCCACAGCATAATGCTGCCACCACCATGTTTCATAGTGAGGATAGTGTGTTTTGTTTCATTGGCTTATCTATCCACCTGAGGATCTCTGCCGTTAGCGGGGGCTTCTTAGCTGCTTCTCTGATTTAAGTTCTTCTTCTGTTAACCTTATTCCTAATCTTTCTAATGTTCTCTAACAACTATTTTGGGACTTCATAGAACACCTGTATTTAAACTGTAATAAAACTGCACAAAGGAGTATTCTTTACATTAATAAGGTCAATGAATGCAGCTGGTTACTCTGAATTTATTTAGTGGCATGAAAATAAAGGGGATTGAACACAAATATACACCAAATTATTTCTATCTGTTACTTTTTACTTTGCAGTTATGTTGTACTTTTGATTTGGAATCACAGATAAAATGTGGAAAGCTCAAAGGGAAGGAATACATTTGTTGCTAATGTATGCTTGTTATTCTTTTGCCTACTGCTCCAACAAACTGCCAACACCAGTTGAGAAAATCCTCATTGATTTCTGTTATTTTCTTCTGTTTTTTTCAGACTCACTCAGGCGTAGACGGTGTTTCTGGAAGAAAAGCTCCAGGCGTCCTGGCTAACAAGGAACCGGCCAGGAAATTTGGTATGAGCATGTGAGAGGCAGCAGATCTTGTCAAAAAATAAAATTCACGTTGAAGTGATCCAAGCACAACAGAGAATCATCTGTGTCACTTTGGCATGTTACTGAGTGCATGTGTATGTGTGTGTGTGTGTGTGTGTGTGTGTGTGTGTGTGTCAGCCCCAGTGGGGACGTCTCCTCCACCCCCTGCTGGAGAAGTGGTGAAGTATTCATCTCAGACTGCAGATCACATCGTCCCCAGCCAAGACATTCAAGGTGACTCCTTTGAACAGTCATTATTTAAGGAACAGTTCCTTAAATAATTCTTCTGCATATTTTCAATATCTTGGCACTTCAGTTAGTGTTTGAACCTGAAAAATAAAAGACTAAATGTATTTAAATTTTTGTTATTTTAAAGCAATTATCAGAGGATATAACTCCCCATCTCCACCAGCAGAACCACAACCAGCTGGCAAAAGGTCAGTTTATATGCGCACACACACACACACACACACACACACACACACGCACACAGAGACTCAAAGCTAGAGAGAGCGTTTCCACTTGGTCTCTCTGAAGGATAATTACATAAAGCATGGCTCCAACTCAACACAGAAATGCTTCTCTAGGCACAGAATCAAACTTCTTCTGTAGCCGTCCAGTCCATAGAGTGAAATCCTATAGAAAGGAGGAGAGGATCAGTGAGGAACCAGATGTCTGAACAAGGCTTTGGGCTCCAGCCTTGACAAATGTTATAAGAGAAGACAGAGAGCTTTTCTACCAGGGAAAATGAGCTGTACAAGTTATTAACAGCAGGGGTGCAAATAAGTGTTGGATGTGACTCTTTGTAAAAAAACAGTACTAAACAGTACTTTTGTAAAAATTAGAAATATTCTACTCACTTAAAGATTAATTTATTAAACTGATTTTTCTGCATCTTTTTAGGGCTTTAAATAAATGTGGAGGTGTTGTAGCTTATAGATATTTTGGTAGATAAATCATGAAAATGATTTCCAGTGTGATGTTCCGTTTTGTTTAGGAGACCAGATGGGAAGTTCAAGAAGAAGCAGACGCCTCGTGATGAAGCTTTACAGATCCTCAAACCCCAGATGGACAATCCTCCTGCTCCACAGGTAAACTCCAACCTGCCTGAACCAAGCAGGCACAGATCGATAGCAGCTGCTCACCCGGACACATGAACACCCACGTTACAAAGAATTTCCACAGCATGGCTCCTTTTTTTCTGTCCAGCCCAAACATCCTGTTGGCCCAACACACTCTGCGTCTGCGATAAAGCAGTCGGGCCTCAAAGTCAACAGAGGCACAAAGATGAGAGCTCCGGATCGGCCGCTTCCTAAACCTCCTCCAGGTGAGCACAGCTGCTAAAAACTGGTCTCATTCACACGGAGTAGAGGTTTAGACATTTTGAAGGCTTTTCTTTATTTGTCTGTCTCACAAAAATGGATTTGTTTGTAATGTCAATTGAAAGTAATGCTTGGAAAAAAATCTTTAAGCAGTTTGTAGCCTTGTGATGATTCTGAAAGATTACGAGAACCAGC